TGATGGTCCTTCTTGAGCATGTGATCAGCTGGTTCTGGTTGTCAGCAGCAAACTGGTTGACCCACTCTGAGAAGGTGCTATTTAAGAGACTGAGCTGAATACAGCTCCTCAGACTGAGGAAGTCTCTTGGATGAGAGACGAAACGTTTCTACATTTTTTTGTTGATTTGCTTTGTTTTGTTTTTTTTGAATGTCCAGAGGACCAGATTTAACTTTTTTAGAGCTATATTATAAGGCTGTGTAGAAAACTAAAAACCGGTCTGGGTTGTTATCCTCTTTAGCAAGCCTGTAGTAGGCTGTGTATTAACCTGCTAACATGGTATGGGAACCTCCTAGCCAGAGACAAGAACAAGTTGTCCCGGGGGTCAAACAAGGTAGTAAAGTCATTGGTCATCAACAAATGACACTTACAGTCCTGTAAAATCAGGTTCTGGAAAAAAAAGGCAATCCAGGTTTACAATGAGCCAACTGATCCACTGCAACCATCATTCAGGTTGGCACCATCTGGTAGAAGACTCCTGGTTCCTTTAGCAAAGAAAAATGGTACAAAAAGTCATTTGTTCCCTCTGCGGTGAATGAACTTAACAAGGTTCTATTTAAACGCAGCCTCACATAACAAACCACTGTCTGCTGAGATGTTTCCATAGTTTAATGAATCGTGTATTTTAGAATGGTTTTAAATGCATGTTTTTAATTGATTTAGCCTTGGTTTTAAAGTTTTTTTAATCACATTTTTATTTTGGTTTTATAAGCTAGATGTCAAAGACAAATCTCCATTTCATTGAATGTTATGGACAATAAAGTTGATTGATCGATTGAACATGCTAACTCTTGTAGCTTGTTGCAAATATTTGCTTCAAAACAGTATTACTGTAAATACAGTAATGTATTACTGTTGTGTAGTACTGTATTTTGTATTGTGTAGTTGACCTAGTGGTACCAGAAAAGATAGATGAGCCAGGACTGACTATCAGCTGCAGCAAGTGCAATCAGCTGACAATGTTTTGTTTTTTTAACGAGAATAAGAAATTCAGATAAACGGATGATTTGAAGGAACAGTGAATTTCAAAATATGAAAAAGCTCTTGATGTTCTTTTGTTTTTCGACATTTGAAGTGTAGGCAGGATGTGACAGAAAGTATCTGACAGTTCTGTAGCCGGCCCGTTCCTTCTGTCGCAGTAAACGACTTGAAGAAACACCCACATGGATCCCAGTTGCTGAGATGTTTGCGTCTGTTTTTTCCCAGAGTGTGGAGGGTGAGCACCACGAGAAGGCTGTGGAGCTCCTCAAAGCAGCTCAGGGCACAGTGAAGCTGGTAGTGAGGTACACCCCCAAAGTTCTCGAGGAGATGGAGTCACGCTTTGAGAAGATGAGGTCGGCAAAGCGTCGGCAACAGAACAACTATCCTCAGTAGGATTTATTGTTTCCATGTTGATGTCTCCTCCTTTACTCATCTGTTCTAGTCTCTTTCTTTCTTCTCCTCCCACACCAATAGTCCATGATTTTAGTTTTATCTACTAATAACACGTGTTTTTGTGATTCTTCTCGAGCATTTTGAATATTCCTCATTGTTCCCGACACTAAGCTCAGATAAAACTATGATAACGATTGATTGTGAGCCTGAAGCACGCCGTGTGCTTCATTTTTCATTTGACGAGTTGAATGAACTTTGAGGACCTTTGGGACAAACTGTATTAGTCTTTTAGACAGAAAAGGTAATGTTTTATTTGTTTTATCAAAGTGCCTGAGGGCAAGCACGTTCATCTCACGTACTCTTAACTGACTTTGTTTTCTGCAACAGTTTAACATCAAGTAGTGGGGATTAAATGCTTACAACAGGATTTACTGCACGCTTTGTGTCTGTTAGTGTGAATATGTGTAGCCATGATGTGTAAACCCTGGAGGAGCTGCTCAACAAACCTACTGGAAGGTGACCTCTAACAAAGCTGGTGTTATTTTAAGACGTTCTCTTTTGAGTTTGCTGGTGTCATCGTGCACTATAAAAAGCCCTGCGGTGATGTCATCGTGCACT